TATCTATCTATCTATCTATCTATCTATCTATCTATCTATCTATCTATCTATCTATCTATCTATCTATCTGTGTGCCGTGTCATGATCAGATGATTTGGCTCTTAGCCCGCTGTGTGCTGTCTGTTTTTCTAGCGCCGTCAGCTCCATTCTATTTGTATTGATTTAGACTTGACGTCTCCTATTCCTCCCTCGATTCGGATGATGCCCCCTTGCTGTCCTTCCCTCTCCTTTTGTTTCTCGAAACTCAATTAACTGCCTGCCCGCCTTTGTTTTTTTTTTTGCGTTTTTCAGTCTATTTTACTCTGTGTGCACTTTTGTGTGTGTGTGTGTGTATGTGTGTGTGTGTGTGTTGGATGGATTCATGTGAATGCGTGACAGGTGCGATTGACTTCCTGGTGAGCCAGCATCCAGTGGCCCAGATCCTGCGGGACCATGTGATCTTCAAGATTGTCCCTATGCTGAATCCTGATGGAGTCTACCTGGGCAATTACAGGTACAAAATAAGCCGTGTTTAGCTCGTTAATCTGAATGCATCATTACCTTGAAAAGAATTCAGTCATTCCATGTCTTTTTTCTTATTTTCCTACTCATCCTATGGGGAAGTAGATCCTCTGAAATTTACCTTTAGGAGGCTTAATGAATACATACAGCTAACAGCGGTGTATTTGTTGGAACACAGGGCTGGGCTTTAGGGCTGTCATTTCTCCCAGCACTCCGTCCATCCTCTCCTCCTCTCTGTTTTTAACACTGTAGCTGCAGCTCTGTGGGTATCCTCCTCTCCTCTCTTCTCTTTCCCTTCCTCATAATTGCCTTTTACTTAATAGGTTCGGCCCCCAGAATACTAATGCTCAGTGAGATAAGCATCAGCAGTGGGCTCCCAGTGTGTTTGCGAATGCCATCTAGTGGCGTTGCCTCTCCACTGCCGCTAAAAGCACATCCGCAGGAGCTTTCATTAGCTCCCCATCAGTGAGAGTCTATAGTATTTATTGTTGACTTTGAATAGACACTACTTAAAGACTCTCATTAGTTTGCTTTTCACGTAGAGTGCTGATAAGCTTCATATTGACAGAAGGTAAAAAGCAACTGTCCTCACGTCCTCAATCACGCACGCTGACTTAATGGATGTCGCTGTGCTCTTTCACAAACACACACACAAGTACAGGAACATGTATAGCACACAGCCATCCCGGCAGGATACAGTGGAGAGCAAGACTGGGCCATGCAGAGCAGAGAATCGATGCTAGTTAACCTGGGATGAGCGCTCCGTTCATGGCTGGCTGATCTCTGAGTCGCCCCGCAGTCTCGGGGTAACAGCAACACCTGTGTCATTACCAGGGACTTGAGGAAATGTCAAAGATACACGTGGCCACAAACAACACGGATCAGGGTGCTTCTTTACGTGTAAACATCCCATTATGGCAGCTGGAGGCCACCACAGGTCGGGCCCCCGTTTGGCCCTGTCCCCTTCCTGTCTTCAGCTCCAGGCCAGCCGGACATTTGTCACATGTCACGCTCTCCCCCCCCACGTTTCCTGTCTCCTCAACACCTGCTGACAAAATGTAGAAAATGAAGCAGGAGAGGCACTAATCCGTGATCCTTCCGCCAAATCAGGGCGTGTAGTAGCGTTCTGTTAAACAAACAAGCTAAATTCTCATTTGTTACAGAAGGTCTTTGTGTTCATCTTCCCATAGACAAAGCAAACGGCCAGAAAATCTCGATCCTGAAATCATTACAGCTCACAGCAGTGCAAACTGTTCTTGGCCTGTACCACTATGGTGGATCGGTGGCTTACAGAAATCCAATTTAGTGTCACAAAGTTCACAAACTTGACACTGGGTTTTATGTCCGTTGGAACTCACTGTGAGTTCAGATGTGAGGTGGCAGCTATAGAACTGGAAATGACAGTTGGAAATGACCATGTATGATGATAGCACACTCCTACCAGCTGATTGTTTTTGAAAAATGATGGCAAAAAAGAGATAATCAATATTACAAAAGGTTTTGTGATTCAAATCAAATTATGATGTATGGTTAAGTATTTTTGTTTCAGATATAAGTTTTTCATCAACCTGTAGAACTTCAGATAGCTGTGAAGTTTTCCACTAGCTTTCTTTTTGGCAGAGCTGCTTTTAGTTATGTATTTTGTCAGTCATAATTTTTCAATATTTGTCTTGTTTTTCCTTCATTTTCATTCATCCCAGCTTTCACCACCATGATCTGATCAAGCAGAGCAGCAGCGAATGTTTGCACAACAGCAAAACAGATCAGAAACATATCCCTAAAAAACTAACCATGCTCCAAAAATGCAGATCTATAGATAAAGAATTCCATATATTGCTGTAAATAATTTCTTCCCGTGTGTGTACATCTGTATGCAGATGTTCTCTGATGGGCTTCGACCTGAACCGCCACTGGCAGGATCCATCTCCGTGGGCCCACCCCACGCTCCACGCCGTTAAGCAGCTCATCGTGCAGATGAACCAGGACCCGGTGAGCATGTCTAAAGAACGGCCCACACATTCTCTGTCCGGTGCTGACCGCTCCAGTGTCTGGAGCTCCCAGAAACTGTTCTCTGTCTCAGTGCTTGTTTCAGCATGTTTTCTGCAATCAGTGTTTAGGGTGTGTGCGCTTGGGAGAGCGGTGAGGCCAGTCAGCACCTCCGGAATGTCAACTAGGCTCTCCTGGCCATTCAAAAGACATTAGTGAAGCAAGACTCTGCGCTTTCCTTCTTAAACTCTACTGTAACTTTTTTTTTTCCCTCCCCAGCTTTAGTCGTTCAGCCAGAGGAACGTAACACATGCAGGCCTGGGATTTTCCCTCTTTGTTCCTGATGTTAATTATAAGCAGAGCGTCAGGTCGGTGGGATTACTGAAGGTCAGTGTGTGTCCTGGGAATACTCTGCCCTTTTTGTACACTCCTCTAATCCTGATAAGAGAGGGAGCAGACCGGGGCGGGATGCGGGGCCGACCAGAGATGTGGCGAGGCGCAGACCTGGCATCGGGCAGATTAACCTTTTCCCCCGGCACTGACACGCTGATCGATAGACTCTGTCATAGCAGGGTGATCCACTCATGCCTGTCATTCACACACACACACACACACACGCACGCACGCACATGCTCTGCTAAAACAAACATTCACATACACACCCAGACACCAATGAATTCAAAGCTGTAGTTAGGTTTCAAGGTGGAATAATCTGGAGTTTTTTTCATCTGTAAGTCTGCAGGCTATTTTTTTCCACAAGCAAGTTTGAATTATTTTAATGATTTTATATCTTGCAAAAAAGATTGTTTCTTTGGTGTCGCGAGGGGGCAGAATCTATAGAAGGTAAATGAGACTTTTGGTAGGGGAAAAAAGAGCCAAATATTTATTCTTTATTTTGTTGGCATGGCCCATACGTCCCCCAAGTGGGATCTAACCTTCTCAGATATTTGAAGCTGATTCAAATTAAACGAGTGACAAAGCTCATGTGTAAGCAATTAAACCAGAGCTTGTAACCCCTCATGTTGTCAGTGTTGCACTTTTGCTCACATTCAGTCTTAATTAATAGGAGCCTTTTAATCTCCCGCCGCCACGGAGAATTTGACTTGTCTTGCTGGGTAAAGCGGCCCCCAGTCGGCCCCGTACTGCACCATATGTTCCCACGTCCACTCCTGCTGGTCATATGTCTTCAGCTCCCTCTTGTGTGCTCTTGACAGCCCCCCCCCCACCAGCTCTCGTCCTGCTGCAGCTCCTCATCTCCAGGATTATTGCCCTCGGTCTTGAGGAGTTCATTTGGAAGATTGGGCATCCTCTCCTCTTCTTCTCCTTTCTGTCTGTATAGCCACAACCAGTTAATCCCATCAGACACACGACTCATGTCTGGGGCTCACAGATGCCAGTTTCAATGCCAATTCCTGACCCCCCCCCCCTCCTCCAATTCATGAGCCTCTCACACAGTAGGCGTTGGGTCTAATGAGGCTATCTAGAGTTGGAGGGCTCAGCAGGAGGACTCCATTAAGAGAGGATCAGCAGAAATAACGTAGGAATAGTTAACTTACCCTACTCCAACCATGTCGCTCAATTTTAGGGAACATTTTGAATCAATTGGCAATATTTGTCATTTTTGGCTTTTTCATTCTAATAAGTTTGTAATTTTGTATTTTGTTATTGAACTTATATTAGCAGTTGAAGACATAACTCAACAAAAAATGTCTGTGCTATAGCTTCCATGAACCAGCAGTTGAATTTGGTATCAGAGCAGATACCTGATTTACAAATATTTGTCGAAACATGGTGGTTACAACTTTGAGGCAGTCTGTAGTCCCTTTGAACAGGCTGAACAAGCTTTGATAGTTTCTTTGCTTTTTATTCGTCCCACAGATTTTCATGATAGGGATTCTACTTCATAAATACTCAGTGGGGACATATTTTAATTTGATTTATACTGGCATAACAAATTATAACAAGCTGATCTTCACAATGGCAATAGATATAGCTTTCTTCTTTATGTGCATTTACAGCCTAAAACGCATCATCTGAGTACTTCCCGTGGATAGTGGATATGTCTAGCAAGAATTGAAAGAATTCTGGTTAGACTAAATCTGCAACTCCTAACAAACAGTTTCATACCAGCTTAATTTTCAATGAAGATGGTACCTTATCTAGACAAATTATTAATGCCCAGGTTTGTATTTTACCATTTTAACATTGTTGTAGTCTAACCCCTGTTCCAGTCCTGCTAGATTAGTTTCAAAGTACCACAAAGCGCAATATCCATTTGGGGTAAGTCATTATGACATATCTAAATTCATATTTGATGTCCCCTACATGCCTTCAGACTAAAAGCAAATACTACTTTTGAAAGATGATCTTAAAATGCCCAACTATACTCTCTACCTGAATTGGGGGCGGGGGGGGGGGGGGGGCAGCAATCGGACAAACAGAGCAAATGCAAAAGTCTACTTTGACGTTGTTCAGTCAAATGTGCCTTAATGCTACTGTGTTTCTCAAATGTCTTACTTGCAGAAATGAAAGTTATAACAATATCAAACACAGTTTGTCCCTTAAATCTAAATCTTTGTGTTGTCAATGTTAAACTGCTTTATTAAGCCTATCAATATGGGCAAAACTGTGCAACAAAGTAAAAAGTTATGATGCGCAACTTTTACATGTGTGATGTAAGTTGTGTTTCGTAGGTAGGAGACACAGTACAGCGTTTGCTGTGAGCTATGAACATAAATCTAACTCCAAGGCTTTCTCATGACCTCCTTAAACTCCAACAGGTCTGTTCATGTGTGTCATAAATCAGTCACATTGCCCTGTGATCCATTAAGGAGTCTTTTTACTTTGACACTCCACTCATGTGACAGACACTTCAATCACTCTAAAATGATTCCCTATCACTATCATTTTAGCAGCTCTCTTTTTTTTCTGTTGGTGAAATAGTTTCTTTGTCCTACTCAGACGATAACTTCACAAACTGGCTCTGAGTTGCCAGCCATTTGCCATTTGGTACAAAGTTTACCCCAGCATTTCCTTTATTTGTCAAACAGTTCAATAGAAATTTACTACTGCTCATAATATCTGGACTCAACAGCCCAAGGGTAAACACTGACCTAAATAAGATTTTATGCTCCACTTTGGTCCTGGAACTTTTTGAAGTAAAAGCTCAAATGAACAAAAAACTGAATGTTAAAAGAACTGAATGAAAAAATGTTGTATTTCCAAATAAATTGATTGATTTTTAGCAAACAAAGCCATCTTATGTTCCAGCATATCCTTATACCTTATATCATATACTATATATGTTTTGAAAATATATTGGTTACCAACTCTACATTTAGGTGATATCATAAAAGTGTAGAGTCAATTTAATCATTGTGAAACCACAAGGTAAATAAACCTGTAATAATGTCAAGGTTTTGAACATAAATCATCTCCGAGCAAACACCACTAATCGTGGTTTTGCTTTTTGCCCTAAAAGTTGTTTGTGTTTGTAATGACACGTTGTGCATTAAATACTTACCGACACCTTGTGCATTTCTCACAGACACAAACTATTATGTAGATGTCACGTGCTAAAAGGAGATATCTTTGAGAATGAATGAATATTCATAAAGTCTCTTTCTTTTTGTTTGTCGTTTAAATGATTAATAACTAACTCAAAGAACACAAAGCAGTCATTTGTAGATTCATGACTCAAGTGTCAAACTGCAAATCAGAATTGTAAAATATCGGTGTCATTAAGAAGCCATAATGTGAAGGACAGTCCTTTGCTCATAGCAAGGCTGTTAACTTTCTCTATACCTATCTGAAGAAAAACTTGCTTAAAAAAATTCCATCATTTACCATCTGTAGCTGAACATTGGTCAGCAGGGAAAATGGCTGAAGGAGTCAGTGATGCAAGGAGCTATAATCTGTTCCCAAGCCACCCTGTTGTTTGTTTTGAAAAGAGAGAAATGGAGAGGGAGACAAAAATGGAAAGGAGACAGAAGAAACAAATGGACCCATCTCCTTCCTAAAGCAGTGCTTTTCCAGCTCATTTATCAAAAGCAGAAGAAGAATTCTTTTTGATTGGCTGATTACCAGAAACATTCATCACCGGCAAATGTGTCCCCACCAGCCTGACACTGCCATTTTGGATAATTTGTTAAAGATGACAAAGAGGTCATTGTTGCCCTGGCTTATTTTTGACCTTTTTAATATTAGTAAAATTAATTTTCAATCTTAAACAAATGTATGAGGTCTCGTCACAGTCTCTAGATAGATTTTGTGCTCTGAAATCCATCCTAATGCCCTCTGTCTGTGACTCCTCAGTGCAGCTCTCAGTCTCTGTCTCTGTCTCTTGCTCAACAGTTAGATTTGCCTTTTTTCAGAAACCGCCCGTGTGTGTGTGCGTGTGTGTGTGTGTTTTGTTAGCACTTGTGTCTTCTCTCCCTCTTCCCTCTATGGGCATTAAAATGTCCTTTGGTGTCAGCCAAGCATTTCTGATCCATTTCTGAGATTTATGGCCAATTTTTCCCCATCATCACCGCATCATTTCAATCCCTCCATCATCTTTTGCTTTATTCTCCCTCTGTTGGATGCTGATTTGTCTGCTTTTCACAGGAAGATACAGATGAAGCTCTCCCATTTTTGGCAGTCGCTTTCGGTTTTCTCAAGAGAGTTCAAAAGCTTTTAACTTCAACATTTTTTTCTTCAGCAAAATATTATATTCAGTATTTCCGCTTGTTCTTTTTTTTTGCCTTCTTTTCGTATCACTTTGTATTGCTTTATTTGCTCCTTTTCAGGTTCTCCTGGCATGCTCTCCAAACAGATGTGGTGGTTTGTGTGGTTTATGTGTCACTAACAGCCCGAAGCGCAGGGGGGCCTGTGCCCGTTCAGCCTGATTACAAGTCACCTCTGTGTTCATAAACAGACAAATACCACCATCAATTTGGGGGTACCATAAGGAGTGAGACGATGGGGGAGAAGTCGAGGGGAGAAAATCAGATAGATGGAGGCGGAGTGAGACAGAGTTTTGTCATTGGCTTCATCCATGAAGCAGGTCGTGCATCTGCCATGTTCTGTCACCGCGCCCCGACCTGTGGTGCTCTCCAACACATGAAATATTTGTTGATTTCACTGTGGGTGGGTGTAATTATGGTGAATTTCCCCAGCTTTTGGTGTGAAAATCCTGATTCTCATTTGGTTCTGCACTTCACATCTAAGTCACCAGACAGCTGAAATAAATAGCCTCCAGGCATTTTATCTGTACTTTTTAAATAAAAATATTATACTACTTTATTTAGCTATTTAACTACTTAGATGCATTTACAAAGTAATGGCTGTGCAACTATAAATGGACACTGCAATCCTGTAACTCTTTAGGTTTGTATATACATGTTTTT